CCCAGCCTTCCCAACCTTCTCGCACAGGAGGTGACCGTTTAATCTTTATTGCTTTCACCGTCTGAGTAGCAAGTCCCATTGGGATCAGCGTCGTTTGTTTCTCCCGTTACAGCGAGAGTTTGTCTGATATACATGTTTGGGAAATCCAGGATTATTCCCAATCGTCTGATAGTTTCTTCCCCAATTAGATTTTCTCTCCCTGCAATAGCACGCTTCTCCTGAAGGTAAGTACAGCAAACTGGAGAGGGAGGGTTTTAACATCATATGTTTGCTTAGTTCCTGATATGCCCCGTATTTGTACAGAGTCCACAACTGGATATACATTAAATACATCTTTTACTATAGGAATTCCAACCCCCGTGTCCAACAGAAAATCTGCAAGCCCATTCCCGACTCGGATGCTTATATGGGGGCGCCCCCAGACATCTATTGTCATGGAAAATGCATTCCGAGTTGCAGGGAGGGCTGGCCTATGCTTCTGAATTACTAGCAATTGGGTCAAACAGTCGCTTTGGCCACCTTCATCACTGCCTTTTCTTCCCCCTTCTGAGACTCCTTGGCAATCAGACATGCCGGTAGCTGCGCCCCCAGCGTCTCATTCTCTCCTTTGAGATTAGATTCTCCTGTTTCAGCGTTTCAGGCGACACCTGTTCACTCTCTCTCTGTTTACTCCTCTACCTCTGTTCATTCCACGACGTCTCCAACCCCGGCCACGGCCATGGGAGGTATCCAGGACCCTCGGTTTTCCACCGTCCTAACTCTGTTCACAGCTCATTGGCGGGAGTTTCCTCCTGTTCTTTAACCGCAGTCTGCATTTTTTCAATCCATTCATTCCAAGGTACGTCTCTGCCTCCATTCTCCCACCAAGCCTTCACCCATTCGCACCGCAGAAGACAGCGCCCCAGAACAAGTCGCTTCAAATCCTTGAGCTCAGCTCAGTATCCCTTGCTGTAAACCTAACCTAGGGGTGTCTTTGTCAGCCAGCTTGGCCGGAGCCTCTCCTGGCATTCCTGTAATTCCTTTAAGTGCAGCTAATCCGCTGGATAACTTAAAATGCTTTCGAGCCCCACGTTTAACCATTTGCGTCACTGTCATCATCAAAACCAAGGGGCTGACGATTCAGCGGTCCCAACAGGATTTGGACTAGAATTGGTTCCTGTAACATGTCGATTCCCACTGCTTTTACCAACCGCGAGCATTTATGTAGTCAGGCCATAAACCCATTGAAATTCTCAGAAGGCGGGGGGCCGACAGCTCCAGCTCACGCAGTTAGCTCATCAGTTTCTAAAGCGTCGAGCCTGGCTCGCTCGCTCGAGGTAGGTGAGGTGTATCTGCAAGGCACTTGGGTGCCTCCATTTCCCTTTCTGCATAATTGCCACGGGGCCCTAGCTGTTTTAAAGGGTCAGTTTCCACCGCGTTCCATAACCTCCCGAGAGGTGGAACACTAGTTGGTGGGGTAGCGTCAAGGGTAAAGTGGGGTGTGAGCGGGGTGTCAGGGTCAGGTTCTGCGGTAGGGTTTTCTCTCCCGTTTCCCCTCATTTCCGGGGGGGGGCAAGTGGGGCAATTTGCCCCAGGCCCCACAGGGGCCCCCACGAGAATATAGTATTCTATGGTATTGCAACGTTTTTTAATGGAAGGGGCCCCCGAAATTGCTTTGCCCCAGGCCCCCTGAATCCTCTGGGCAGTTCTGCTCATTTCTCCTGTTTTAACAGGAATTGATCTAGGTTTTGGGGAGGGTTTGTCCAAACCTGGTTCTCAGCATCAGGTGGCAGTTGGGGTGTGGTGACCGCTGCCCACGGGTCAAGAGAGGATGGTCCAGCTGGGTCATTCCACATGTCCCCAGGGCAGCCTCCATTCCAGTTGTCCCCTGTTCCCGCTTTTAAGTTAGCCGGGGCATCTGTTTCCACTTCTGCCCCGACCCTTCAGGGACTGGAAAAGCACTCCACGTCTGTTGAGCAACAGGGGACGGTGTCTTGTTCTTCTGCCGGTTCGCCACAGCTGTCTCCAATTTTTTGTTTTCCTGCTTTATCTGTTGGAGCAGATCGTGAGTCTGGACCGCCTGGTGCCCTGTTAAAAGAGCTTGGGCTTTCCAGTGCTCGACAGACTGGGTTGCTTCCTCCATGGCTTTAGTGATCTCTTCTACTTCCCCGGTTTTTTCCACTACTTGCCAGGCCAGTATGGTGGCGTGTTGTTTAAGCCATCGTACTGCCATGGACATTAATTGCAAAATTCTAGCTTTTTTGCTTTTATTATTATTTTGTAGCGCTTCTGTTTCTACCATCGCTTTACATATGCCAGTCCATGTTTGCCCACTTTCTTTTTTAAATTCATATGGACCCCCTTTCCTGGCAATCCAGAGAGTCCAGGAGTTATCAAACTCCGTGGGGATTTGAAGGGAGGGGATAAAGGGGGTTCCCTAGCTCGTGGTTTCCTGTCATGTTAGATCGCGGTTGCTACAGCGGACAGCTCGCTTACTCACCAGATCAGCGGTCGGGGTCACCAATGTCGTCAGACGTCACCGGTGTGGTGCTCTGCTCTGTCCGTTGTTGATAACAGGCGGCTGGGTGCGTGTGTTCCCCCTGCGTGCTGCCCGGGCTCTGCGCAGATCGCTGGCACACCAGACCCCGAGGACCGCAGACGCCGATAAGGCACGAAGGCACCCGGCCAGGTTTATTGCCAGACGAAACACAGTCTCTAGTTCCCCAGATCACATGTCTACAGTTCTGCTAATACATACGTGCTCCCTGACAATGGACCGGTTCAGTCAGTGGCGGGATTTAACCACTGTCCCCTAGGCCAGACAAAGACAACCCCTCAGAGGTCCATTTTTATACACAGGTGCAAACGAGCTACACATCACTCCTGACATACTGAGGTACAACCCCCTCTACGGGTCAAGGTGCCGCCTATCACCTTGTACATGTTGGTTCGAGCAAAACAACCCTATCCATCATATGATCCTTTTGCCCCTGTCTTTAGGATGGGTCGGCCTGCTCCTGTTATCGGTGTGGAATGTGCTCGTGCAGGAGTGTCCTGGTACCATCCTCGCAGGTGTTTACACTGCTTGTGCCCAGTATCTTTTAGGTGTGTGTGTTTTTGCAGCATCCGCCCTCTTCATGCCAGATTCTGTGAGCAGGGCCTGTCTCTGGCTCACAGCTTCATTTTGTTTTATATCAGCAAAGTCTTGATCATTATTTTAGCTCCGGCCTTAGGCCTCTGATAAAAGGACTTATGTTTCAGGACCTCATCTCACTACGCTGACGTGCTACGGGGCGCTGTGCTGCGGGGAGCAGGGCGGGGGGCTCAGAAGGGGGCGCTCTGCCCCCAGAGTCAGTGCTGCCCCCAATGCTGCAGTGCTAGGGGGCGCTATGCTGCGGGGAGCAGGGCGGGGGGCTCAGAAGGGGGCGCTCTGCCCCCAGAGTCAGTGCTGCCCCCAATGCTGCAGCGCTAGGGGGCGCTGTGCTGTGGGGAGCAGGACAGGGGGCTCAGAAGGGGGCGCAATGCTCCCAGCGTCGGTGCAGCCCCCAATGCTGCAGTGCTAGGGGGCGCTGTGCTGTGGGGAGCAGGACGGGCGGCTCAGAAGGGGGCGCTCTGCTCCCAGCACTGGTGCAGCCGAGCTCCCCAACCTAGCCGGAGACCCCTGCCCACGGAGCGACAGGCGCTATACGGCCACTCCCTCCTGACAGCAGCACCAGCCAGTGCTGCCCAGGCCTCGCCCTCAAAGTGCGGCTCCTCATGTCCGCATGGGCGTGTCTGTGGGTCCTCACAGCAGCGGGGCCCTGGCAATGTGCCAAGCGGCACAGCTCTGGGGCAACCTGGGCAGGACTGGCAGAGCCTGTCTTCATAATGTGCGGAGGGAGGGATCCCAATCAGAGCAGGGGACCCCATATCCCCTTCCCTCCCCCGCTCAGATCTATGGGCTCCTCTCACCCCACGGAGGGATAGAGGGGTGTGTAAGGGGATGGATTAGATTAGATAGTGTGTATGGGGATGGAGGAATGGATAGATTGAGTGAATTTATGGGGATGGTTGGCTGGATGAGTGAGTATATGGGATGGATGGATGGATAGATGGATGGATGGATGGATGGATGGATGGATATTGTGTATGGGGATGGAGGGAGGGAGGAATGGAGATGGATGGATAGCTGTGCATGAGGATGGATGGAGTGTATGGGGACAGAGGGATGGATGGATGGATTGAGAGAGTGCATGTGTGGGGATGGATGGATGGCTATTGTGTATGGGGATGGATGGAAGGAGGGATAGAGATGGATGGATGGATGGGTGTATGGGGATGGATGGAGTGTATGGGGACAGAGGGATGGATGGAAGGATGGAGGGATGGATGGATGAGTGAGTATATGGGAGGGAGGGAGGAATGGATATTGTGTATGGGGAGGGATGGAGATGGATGGGTGGGTGTATGGGGACAGAAGGATGGATGGATTGAGAGAGTGAGTGTGTGGGGATGGATGGATGGAGTGTATGGGGACAGGATGGATGGATGGAGTGTATGGGGACAGAGGATGGATGGATGGATGGATGGATGGATGGATGGATGGATGGATGGGGACAGAGGATGGATGGATGGATGGATGGATGGATGGATGGATGGATGGGGACAGAGGATGGATGGATGGAGAGATGGATGGATGGATGGATGGGGACAGAGCATGGATGGATGGATGGATGGATGGATGGATGGATGGATGGATGGATGGGGACAGAGGATGGATTGGATGGATGGGGACAGAGCATGGATGGATGGGAACAGAGGATGGACGGACGGACGGACGGATGGATGGATGGATGGATGGATGGATGGATGGATGGATGGGGACAGAGGATGGATGGATGGAGTGTATGGGGACAGAGGATGGATGGAGGGATGGGGACAGACGATGGATGGATGGATGGATGGATGGATGGATGGATGGATGGATGGATGGATGGGGACAGAGCATATGGATGGATGGGGAACGAGAGGATGGATGGATGGATGGATGGATGGATGGATGGATGGATGGGAACAGAGGATGGATGGAAAGATGGATGGATGGATGGGGACAGAGGATGGATGGAGTGTAGGGGGACAGAGGATGGATGGATGGATGGGGACAGAGGATGGATGGATGGAGAGATGGATTTCAGCCCCAGGAAATAGCCCCGGCTCCCTCACACAAGCTCCAGTAAGTGCAGAGCCTCCTCCCAATGAATTATTCTTAAACCCGGAGGCCAGGGTGAGGGCTGGAGTTGGGGCAGGGGGGAGCAGGGCCCAAGGTGTGTGTGTGGTGGGGGAACAGGGCCCAGGGGTATCAGCTGTCCTGCCTGCCTGGGCCAGCAGCCCTTGGCACTGAGCACCGGGCCAGGGGACCTTAGGGGGCTGGGGGGAGGGGAGGGCGCTGGCAATTGACGGATGTGGCGCAGATTGTAACTAGGCCGGACAGTCAGCTGGTTGCCATGGTAACCAGCCAAGCCATTGTTCTATTTCAAGGGGGAACACCACGGAGGTTTCTGGGTTACCTGGGGCATTGTGGGGGGGGGCGGGTCATGTACTGACGCCCTCTCCCCCTTCCCCATGGGCCAAAAGGCAGCAGTGGAGACGACAGGACAGATTCTGATGCTGCTG